TCAGATTTTAAGGAGGCATCTGCTCTTACGGAAGAATAAAGTTTTATTTTTCTAAGACATATTAGGGTATTTTTATACCCTTAGTGGCCGAACCCAATAGGAGTGGCTGAACTCCCCCCTAAATTTTAGGTTTATGGTTTAATTTTTGGACAATTTTTCTAAGTCTTTGGAATTATTTGTTTGGTTTGGTTTGTTTTGAATTATGGATAATTATTTTATGGACATTATTTCTCAAACTGATTAATTGAATGAATGGACTTATATTTATGCATGTGACTTATTCAATTAATTTATTTCTAGGTATGACTAGTGGAGAAGTTAGTTGTCTGGCTGATAGTGCAACCACGCACACCATTGCATGAGAAACACTATTTCACTAACTTCGTACCTAAGAATGCACCTCTGACAACCCTCCCAGGCTTATCTAACTTGATAGAAGGATACAGAAAGGCCCGTATAATGTTGTCCAATGGTACTAAATTAACCATTAAAGAAACACTTTATTCTCTATGTTGAACGTTGCTGAGTTTTAGAGATATTCAAGATAATCAATATCATGTTGAAACCACTAAAGAGAATGGTTCTGAATTTCTTTGTATCACTTCTTGCAAATATGGCTAGAAGCGTATTCACGAAAAGTTGGAACGTCTCCTGAGTGGGTTGTACATAACAACCATTCGAGCCCTCGAGACACACCATGTGGCCGGTCCTATGGTTGGGTTCGAAGACACTCTCCTGCTTTGACATGATCGAATGGGACATCCCGAATGAGATATGATGCACCATATCCTCAAACTATCACATGGGCATCACTTGAAATCTTATCCCGGCCATTCGCTTTGCAAAGCATGCTCCCTGGGGAAGTTGAACATTTAACCCTCAATTACAAGATTATTCACGACCCTCTTAACTTTCTTCAAAGGATTCAAGGGGATATTTGTAGACCTATCCAACCAATATACGGACCATTTAGATATTTCATGGTGTTGGTTGATGCATCGACACAATGATCACATGTCTACTTATTGTCCACACATAATGCTGCATTTGCGAAACTCCTAACGCAAATTATTAAGGGTTCACCACCCTGATTATCCGATCAAATCGATTCGACTAGATAATGTTGGAGAGTTTACGTCACAGACCTTTGACAATTATTACATGTCTGTTGGGATTGCAGTTGAACATTATGTACCCCATGTTCACACCCAAAACGGTCTGGCAGAAGCTTTCATAAAGCGCATTCAAATGATAACTCGGACTTTGGTTATGCAAACCAATTTGTCAATATCTGCATGAGGCCATGAATATTGCACGCAGATATGTTGGTATGCCCTGAACCCCACCGCTACCCAACCTCATTCACCGTTACATTTGGTTACTGGATACGAACCTGATGTCTCGCATTTATGTGTGTTTGGGTGCGCAATCTATGTGTCAATAGAGCTGTCACTACGTACCAAAATGGGTCCTCAGAGAAAAATGGGAATCTATATCGGTTATGATTCGCCATCAATTATTCGTTACTTAGAGCCATTGACAAGAGATCTCTTTACCACACGTTTTATGGATTGTCACTTCGATGAGGCAGTTTTCTTGTCGTTAAGGGGAGATAAGATCACTAACGTTCATGTGGAACACCACGAATTGTCATGGATTACTCCCACTATGTCTTATTTAGATCCCCGCACACCTCAGTCTAAAACTGAAGTGCAACGTATTCTAGATATTCAGAGCATCACTCAAAGCATGCCATATCCTTTTACTGATCTAGCAAAAGTGATGAGATTACATATACCCGCTGCAAACGTACCTGCAAGGATGGACATACTTAACGTACGCCGTAACACCGCCGTGGAAGGCTGGACCGTCCCCAAGGGTGGGGCGGCTGCACCTCCTAAACAACAAGGTACACTGGTGGCTAACCAATCACCTGTTTTTACCCTGAAGCGTGGTAGGCCCCCTGGTTCAAAGGATTCACAACCCGAAAGAGGAAAACGGCACAAACTAGTGACCCTAGTTTGAATCCAACCATTGCTTACTCATGTATTCCAACACATGAGGTTATTCTAGATTACGGTGATGTCTTAGACGAGATATAATAGCCTCTCGAGAATCGCGAGATTTCGGTCCATTATTTAATATTAGAAGAGGTTTGGAATCAGAATGAGAAGATTGTCGATGATGCATTCGAGTATACCGTTGCTTCCAGCATCATGTTTAGCGATGACATTGAACCACATTCCGTTAATGAAAGTCGACGTAAAACGGATTAGTCAAACTGGAAACAAGCAATCCAGGTCAAACTCAATTTGCTTGCGAAGGTTTGGGCCTGTAGCTCCTACTCTACCACATGTGAAGCCTGTGGGCTACAAATAGGTTTTCGTGAGGAAGCATAATGAGAAGAATGAAATAGTGCAGTACAAAGCACGCCTCGTAGCGCAAGGCTCTCTCAACGTCTTGGGATTGATTACGAGGAAACGTATTCCCCTGTAATGGACGTCATAACGTTCCACTACCTTATTAGTTTGGTAGTTTCCCAAAAAACTGAATATGCAGCTTATGGACATGGTAACCGTGTGTCTCTATGGGGATCTAGATACGGAAATGTACATGAAAGTTCCAGAAGGACTTCCATTAAATGGTTCAAATAGTTCTAGACCACTGAACACTCTTTCGATTAAATTGAAAAGATCTCTCTACGGATTGAAACAATCCAGATGGATGTGGTATAAACGTTTGAGTGAATATTTGAAAAGTCAGGGTTATGTGAACAATGAACTATGCCCATGTTTGTTCATTAAGACGTCACATTCCAGATTTACGATCGTTGCAGTTTATGTCAACGACATGAACCTCATCGGAACTCTCATAGAGCTTGAGGAAATTGTCGTGCACTTAAAATCGGAATTTGAGATGAAAGATCTTGGGAAAACTTGATATTGTCTTGGCCTAGAGATCAAGCATTGTTCGGATGGAATCCTAGTACATCAATCGAACTACACCCAGATGGTGTTGCAAAGTTTTAATGAGGACAAAAGCGAAGCCTTCGAGTACTCTTATAGTCGTTCATACTCTAGATGCTAAACGATATCCCTTCCATCCCAAGGAAGATGAAGATATTTTGGAGCCTAAAGTTCCATACCTAAGTGCAATTGGTGCTTTATAGTACTTGGCTTAATGCACTAGACCCAACATCTCATTTGTTATTATTCTTTTGGCTAGATACAGCAACGCGCCTACACGCAAACACTAGAATGGTGTTAAAAACATTTTCCGCTACCTCAAGGGTACGATGGATTTGGGCTTATTCTACACCCATGAATCCTCGAGATGAGCCACGGCCCCCTTCTAACTTCGGGTTGATTCCTGCCTCATTGGTTACGCAGATGCTGGTTATCTATCTAACCCATATAGGGCACGTTCTCAAACGGACTATGTCTTTACCATTGGAGACACCGCTATATCTTGGAGGTTTACCAAGCAAACACTAGTTGCGACTTCTTCGAACCATACTGAGATTATTGCCCTGCATGAAGCATCGCGTGAGTGATTTTGGTTTAGAGCAGTCATGGAACATATTCAAAGCACTAGTGGTCTTACTTCCGTCGTTGACCTTCCTACGACGATCTTCGAAGACAATGCAACATGTATCGAACAGTTAAAGAAGGGATACATCAAAGGAGACAACACGAAGCACATAGCGTTGAAGTTCTTTTATTCTCACCAGCAACAATAGCATCAGAACATTGAAGTCAAGAATAATCAATTCCCATGACAACCTGGCCGATCTCTTTACCAAATCATTGTCCAAGTCTACTTTTCAGAAGCTCGTCCAAGGAATCGGTATGCGTAAATTATCTGAATTGAATTGCCTGTAGTTCTCTTATTTAGAAGTTATGTCTAACTCAAGGAGAGTATCCTGAAGCATACTCACTTGATCTTAATGTACTATTTTTCCCACGATTAGGAGAATTTTTCCCACTCGGTTTTTGCTAACTAACGAGGTTTTGATGAGGCACCCATCAGTGGGATGATCATACTCCATTGAGTTCACTAATTTCATCATGTTTGACGTTTGTCTTAGACATTATGCATACTTCTCACTTTTCTCCTTAGTCTATAGGTTTTTCACTTATCTTAGGTTTTACCATAACGAGGTTTTGTGAGTTTTACTACCAATGCATACTTACTTTCTTATATCTGAGACTCACATTCACCCGTTGTGCCGACGACTTCATCAAATGTTCTACCTCATATGCTGAATATTTGATGCGACATTTTGTTTGAGTATTTACACACTCAAGGGGGAGTATTGTAGTCCTATTGGATTAGAAATGTAATTGTGTAAATCCTAATGTATCTAAGAGTATCTTGTATATTCCCTTTAATAGTTTAATTCCTATTAGAGATGTAATCTTATTAGGGTAAGGATTTTACCTATCCTACTACTATAAATACAGGCATAAAGGGGTGATACAACACACACCTCAGAATTACATATCTCTCTTTTCTCTATGTTGTCGTCGGCCCCTCTCCCTCTCTGTCCTTTATACAGTTCAGTCAAATAGGCCTACAACAAATGCAAAACATTAACTAAACCCGAAACATTTAGTCATCTAATGGTTATCCAATAAATAGACAAACCATGCTTCTCATTTTACTGAAATTTTGACCACATTAATCAAATGGTTAAACGATATATCTGATTATTGGTTGATTTTTTTACAAAGTTGATCTTTAAAGGGTGATCTAGAAAGTAGACGGTTCCGGTAATCAAGCAACATTGCAAGATGAGGAAATCTTTAAAGGGTGATCTAGAAAGTAGACGGTTCGGGTAATCAAGCAACATTGCAAGATTAGGAGAGCCAAGAAGGTAGAACAAGAATGTCCAAATGAGAAGGTTGCTAGCATCTCTAATGATAAAACAATTTCATTTTTAACTGATTTTTTGCAAGTATATTAAAGAAATTAAAATTTGAACAATTATGATCATTGGATTAAAACCAAAAAATAGGTCTTTATTTGTGTTAAATAAATATCTCAACCATAATCTTTCGACACAAGCGGGACATTGGCAGATGGAAATTGAAGGGAGGACATCAGGTGCAAAGAAAAATGCTCTTACCAACTAAAGCTACAAGTTACTCGATCAACTCAAGTACCATTATTAAAATCCACAGAATTTTCAAACTGAATCCGCCAACTTGGGTTCTTCGGTTGTTGTGGGGGGAACGTATTCACCAAAACCACAATCCTCTTCCTTAACAAAACCATCATCTCTAACCCTAAAAACTGCATGAACCAAAATAATTGGCACCGTACAAGCTAAAGTCACAAACAGATGTTCGGCTGCGTACGTAAGTATGAGCTCAATCATCGTCCCAATGGCCAACAGAACCAGCACCAACCGCCCTTCGACGGTCTTGTGCAGCAGCAGAGAATCAGGCACTACCCTCAACAGCGCAAGGTACGAGCATCCCACTGCAGTCATTATCACCAAGAAAATTAGAGACATCTGGCGCTGAGGCACTAGGGTTATGGAGAGTACGGTCCATATCAAGAGTGTGTAGTACGATCCGAAATAACCAAAGTTACGGGTGACGCGAACCGCAGCGGCTTCTGGGGTCGCCGGGATGTTGAAGAAGCAGAAGAGCTTGAAGTCCTTGCTCGTTTTTCCGGTTGAATCTTTCGGTTTATGGGGATCATCAGTAGGTGTTGGTGTGGAGATGGTGGACGGCCTTTTCACGGTGCCGTAGTCAGCCATTTTCTGACCAAACAAATATGGTGTTTAATTTGACTTGAAGGGATTAGAAAGGTACTCGCTGATGTTTTGGATCGAATAAGTTATAAGTTTTGAAAGGATAATGCATATTTATATATACACACACGCATGATAGAGAGTGACAGTAGCAACTTCAAGGAAATGATTCAAGACGGACGTTTTAAACAAAGTGACAATTACAGCGACACTTTTGTCCACATTTGAGTGGAAATTTCAGGGTGAATTACAAGAAGAGCGTCCTAGCTAAAAACAAATCTGTTGCTGTGCGGTACGTTTATTTCAAATTCTCGAATTCTCAGATTTGTTTGGTTAATTCTCTTGATACATAAGAGATACTCTTATTACCAATTCATTACGTGACAAGTTTTTAATATACGAATGATATACTTTTTGAATCATGACAAACATATATTCAACAAGTAAATAGGGATGTAAGTAGATAGGATAAAATATTTCTTATTTTGTTCCTTATTGTAAATAGGGTTGTAAGTAATTTCCACATATATTGCCTATTGTATATATTTACAACTTTCAGATATTTTATATGGTTATGAAACCCAGTGGCATAGCATGGGCACTCCTTTCTAGTTTGAGCTAAAAGAAACAAAATGATAAGTTTGGCATGGCTCGTTCAACGTATCCTCTCTTGTTTGTGGGGGTGGGTACTTGGAATCGAAACATGGACCAAACCAGATTGCACCGAATAGTTTGGTTTTTGCGCTTTTGAAACGGTTCAGCTTGAAACCAAATCGCAAGCTGAAAAATGGTTTAGTTTTGGTTCCCAATATCTAAAACCGAACCTAACCGCATAATATAAGAAAAAAATATTTAATTTTATAGCGTTTAGATATTGTAATTTAATTGATTATTTGGTCGAGTCCCACATTTAGTATGAACTCAACCACATCATAACATTCCCACTGCCCAGACTATCAGAGGCTTTCTCTCTAATAATTCGAGTCTCGACCCAGAAACAAAGTCAAGACATCTCCTCCTCCTCTCCCACAACCTCTACTCCTCGCTCCTGTTCATCTCTTTCGAGTAAATCTCTCCTCACTCCTCCAATCTTCAAACGAACCATTACTCGCCCTCAAGTCTTCCTCCCATTTCGAAATTGAACTCCTCCCGTCCTCTCTTGCATGAAAATTTTATTTTTTTGGGTTTTATTAATGTCATAATGCTTTGACGTTGAACTTTGCTTGAACTTTAATTTAAGTACGGTAAACTTAACTTTTTCAATTGGTTGTAATAAGGTAATTCCATAAGGCATTTTGATGTTGAACTTTGTTTCAAGTTGAATTTTAGTATGGTGATCATAATTTTTATTTTTCAAGTGGGTTGTATTAATGGCATAAAATGTTTAATTTGCTAAACTAAGTTTTGAACTTTTTTTTTTTTTGTCAAACAATAGATTTTGTTAGATTAGCCACCGACGGAGTTTGAACCCACATGTTTGCTTGAATGTTGAATACTTATATTAATGCCAATTTTTAACCAGCCTACAAGTGAGGCACAAACCAAAATCAAAATCATTTGAAACTGAACCAAGCCAAAATCAAATGGTTTGGTTCAATTTTGGTTCACACTGTAAAATCGAACTAAATTGAACTTAATTGAAATAAATTTCGGTTTTGGTTTACCCGAAAATCGCATCACACCAAACCAAATCGTTCCCACCACTACTTTCTTTTTCTTTTTGTGTGTGTTTTTTTTTTTTTGTTTTTTTTTGGCTCATTTTCATTAATAAGAATGAAGGAAACAATTCGGAATGAAACATAAATATGCAAGTTAGGGTTCGGTTGATATACATTTGGTTTTTCGTTTTTTGCTTTTTATGCTTCAAATATAAAGGGTGGTGAGGTAGGGAAAGAATAAAAAAAAAAAAGAATGACCAAAAACAAAATCTTGAAAAAGCCACTTGAAATAAGTACTTTTGGTTTTCCTTTTGTACCATTTCTTATAAGTTTCTCTCTCCCAACATTCTTCCAACTCTTCTTCATCTTCCCTTTCAATATACTTATCCCATATTTCAAACAAAAGAAATAAAAAACTAAATGCATAAGGATCGTTTGATAGTCATTTCATTGTTGGTAACTTCTATCCAACAAATACATAAGCCTTAGTTTTTTTTTTTTTTTTTCATTGAAGATTCAAAACTACACTTATATAATGATATTGGTTGATCATCTTTTCTCGTTCGTGCCTATAGAATAGAATACACAACCTTTTCACTTTGCTTGCAGCCTCTTTGTTCTGCTTCATTTCTCCTTTCCCTCTATTACTATTATATATAGTCTATGAAACCAAAGAAATAGAAAAGGATTTCCTGTTTCCAAATTAATACAACAAAGGCATTCAATTTCTCTCATGACTTATGTTTCGACATTATATGCATTTCCTTTACATATTCTATACTCTAAAACGTGACTCTCCTAACATAAAGTTCTGGCTCCCCGCTCAGAGCATGTCATCCATGGTGATCCACAACTTTCCTCACAAAAATCACGAAACAAGCCCCTAATGAAGCTCTCACATTAATCTTATATGATGTGAGACTGCCTTTATTCCGCAACGTAAGTAATTTTCTCTCGTGACCAAGACTCCACCTTGTTTACTAAAAAGAAAGTCAAGTGGGTCCATGCTAGACCCAGCAATTTCCACGTTGTTTCTTATGTTGCTTTTTGCCAAAGTCTCTCATTCATTTTGTAAATCGAAGGTCACAAATTAAATCTCTCCCTGGAGACTTCCAAGTTATAATAATTAATATTACTGAAACTGAGAAAAATTCTCATCTTACAATGTTGTTTGATAATCGAAACTGTCTACTTTTTAGATCATTATTTACAAATCATCTATGCAAAATACTAACCAAGCTCGAAATTGTTTAGTCATCTAAAAGTTTTTCAATAAATAGACAGTTTTTCAATAAATAGACGAACTCTTTCTCACGCAAACACTAAAATTTTGACAACATTAATCAAACGGTTAAACGATATCTAATTGTTGGTTGATGTTTTATAGAGTAGATCTTTGGAGGGTGAAGAAAGTAAACAATTCCGATCATTAAGCAACATTATGAGATGAAGAGAGTCGAGAATGTCAAAATGAAAAAGTTGCTAGCATTCCCAATTGTGAAACAATTTCTCATATAACCAACTTTTTGCAAGAATATAAGAGAAAGTAAAATTGAACAATTCTGATCATTGGATTATAATGAAAAAGTTAGGTCTTCATTTGTCATAAATAAATATCTCAACCATAATCTTTTGATACAAGCGAGATATTGGCGGGAAGATTTGAATAGACACCGGTACAAGAAAAAAATATTTCTATCTACTTGAGCTAAAAATCGTTTGATCAACTCAAATACCATTATTAAAGTCCACAAAATTATGAAACTGAATCCGACAACTTGAGTTCATCGGTTATGGTCAGGGGAATGAATTCACCAAAACCACAAGCCTCTTCCTCAACAAAAAGATCATCTCTAACCCTAAAAACTGCATGTACCAAAATAACAGGAACCACTCAAGCTAAAGTCACAAGCAAGTGTACGGCTGCACTCGTGAGTCTGAGCTCAGTCATCCTCCCAATGGCAAGCAACGCCAGCACCTGCCGCCCTTCGACGGTCTTGTGCAGCTCCAGAGACTCAGTCCTAACCCTCAACAGCACAAGGTACAAGCAGCCCACTGCAGTCATTGCCACCAAGAAAATTAAAGAAAACTTGCGCTGAGGCACTAGGGTTATTGAGAGTACTTCAAAACTTAATAGCCTTTGTGCGATGGAACCTTATGGTTCGTCAGCCAATATTTGACACAATACATGCCATTTTTTTCCTTGGCACCAAATGATTACCTGACGAATTCCTCTTGACCTCCGAAATTATTTCGTCATATGTAAAGTCTTGGACAAAACTCTAGATTTAACCAGCTTAATTTGTTTGACCAACTGGAATTTTTGTCGAATAAAATAACTTGACCCGACGAAATATGGTTCCTCATGCCAAATTTCGTAGGGCAAATATAGCATTTTCTGGTAGTGGGTGTACAAAACAGTACTGTTTATGTTTATTATAGTTATATATGGTGGTGACAGGTGTAATTGTTCGACAATTGTATTGATCCTGAGATGGGAACAATGAACATGTGCATTCCCACTGTTGGAAGAGAGAGAGAGAGAGAGAAAATTTCTACTTATTTTGTAAGACTGTTAATCTGAACGATCAAAATTTAATTAAGAATTTATTTTACTCACTGTTTTAAAAATATCGAGTAAGGATTAGGCGGGCTAGGCAGCCACCTAGGTAGGTTAGGCATGCTAGGAGGTGGCTAGGCGGTTCTATTGTTTTTAATTTTTTTTTTTTTTTAAATTAACTCAAAGGGTTTTATGGGTAACCTATTAAAAAAGAACCTAAATTATGAAATAGTGAATTTTCAATTTTGGTTTTTAGTTTTGAGTTTTTCTTATTTTTACAGGCATTAGTTTGTGATGATGGTAATGCCATGATGACTTAAGTTTTAAGTTTTAACTTTCCCAAATTCTCAATACAAGTTTAATTTATTTTTATTTTTTTGAGTGTAAGTAGGCATTTATTTATATGTTATATAATAACTTTAATTAAATCTACCTAGCTACCTCGACATTAGGTGTCCCAACCCACCACCTGATTATCGCCTAAAATCTTTTAGAATCTTGATTTTACTATTGAGTTGTAAAAGTTTGATGAGTTAGCTTAAAGAATTTTATTAATTTGTCATCAAAATAATGTTTTACGTTAACTAATTAATATATTGCGTTGTTAGATTGTTAATTGAAATGACATTTAAATAAGAATTCACTTGATCACTGAACCAAATTAATAGTCTAAATTATACATTATGACAACATAAGCATGTCTGTCAAATCGACAACTTGTTGGCATGTGAGGGGAAAGTGCATCGAAGTTAACATAAAACATAAAACAAGCATGTCTTGTCCCCCTAACTCTTTGTCTAGAAACTGAGAGAATGATGCTTGGCCTTTGGCCAGCTAGTTGTATAATCACTAGAAAGTGAACTTGCAATTTGTTATT